CGGTTTAAGAAGTAATTCAACTGAGCAGCATGATTAAGAGGAATAGCAGAATATCGGTTTGCTATGCCCACAGGACAGAAAGGCATTTTTTCCTCAGATGCAGGAAGCATCTACGACAGTGGAAAAGAGAGTTAGCCTAATATTTTTCAGGTATTCTTTGTAGCAACTACTGGGAATTTGTAGAGGATTTGATTGAAGCGTGTAAAACAGAAGTTCTTACATTTGTGGACAGTGCTAGTGTTGCAGAGCACGTGGCAGAGAATTTTCCACGGAGTCCCTTTAGCACCCGTCTTGCAGATGAACAATGAAGTCTAAATTACGGCTTAATCTCTGTGGGTGTGAAACCAGTGGTGAAGCTTTTACTCGAGGGCTCTAGTTTCAGATCACGGTATGAATTATGTGTGGAGAAAGACTACCTTCCCTGAACGAAAGTAATGTTTTAAATTTCCTGCTGCTCAGATGGGAAGCACCGTGCCCGATTTTTATTTTTATGTCTGACTAAGCAGCAGGTGAACAGTAAGATGTAAATAAGATAATCCTAGTACTTAAGAGCATCTGCTCTTCCTCTAATTGCCTTGCTCACAAAGTGAATACCTGTTCAGAAGAGTTCTTAATTTCCAGTGATCTGTTTTGCAGGAGTTTGACAAGAAATACAATCCCACTTGGCACTGCATCGTGGGAAGGAACTTTGGCAGCTACGTGACTCATGAGACCAAGCACTTCATCTACTTCTACCTCGGCCAAGTCGCTATTCTTCTTTTCAAGTCTGGTTAGAACCACGGACTGTTACGGAAACTTGCACCCGGTTACAGGACTGTGTGCTGACTCCTCCGACTAATTACTGCAGCCTTCCTGAGGACGCAGGCCTTGATCTTCAAGGGCAATGGCAGGGATTATGCTATAGCAGATGATGTTACATTGTGGATATAAAAAGGAAAAATACCAAAAAAGTCTTCCTTGTATTTTTTTTTTCCCAGAAGGCTGTTGCTTTGCTAGTAGAGCTGTTGGAGCAGTTTTGCCTTTGAAAGTTTTATAGTCATCTACAGCATTGCCCAGTTACTGCTTGTGCTATGTAAGTACTGACAGCGTTCAGTACCACGGACTGTTACGGAAACTTGCACCCGGTTACAGGACTGCACACTAACTCCAGACAGCCTCCTGCCTTCAGCCTGCCTGAGGAAACCGATCTTCGGGTCTTTTGTTGTATTGTTAATGGTCAGGGATTTTGCTGTAGCAGCTGGTATTTTTGTTGTGGCTATAAAAAAGGCAAAAATGTCTTCCTTGTATTTATTTTCTTTCAAAAGATGGCTTCTTTGCTAATAAAACTGTTGGAACAAGTTTATCCTTTAAGAGTTTTCTCTGCCCTTCTGCCCTTAGCGCTTGCATTACCCCCTTTATTCCGCTGCGAATGGAGGAGGAACATCCCCGCCCCCATTTCATCCGCAGCATCTGAATCCTGAGCTAATCTATGAATACGTCCTCAGTCGGTAACTGAGAACAGGAGCTGTTTTCCCTGAGAGCAAGAGACTCCTTTTCAGTTCTTGATCAGCATATTTTCAGCATGCGCAACCTCCAGCGCAAATTCTGGCGTTTAGATACGTGGTGTTGCTTTTCTGATGTCAAACGAACTGGTGAGCTAAAAGCAATAGTCCTTTCACCTCCCAGTTTTCAGGAGAGAGAAATTTTCATGCTGGTTCATTACACAGCTGTCACTGTAGAATGTAAATTTATGCCTTCTCTAGATGATTTTTTTTCCTCTGTCCCTGTACCCTACAGCGGTGCTACAGAAGCATCTGTTCTTCAACAGTTTAGTTTACAGAACAGAAGGAAATGCACAGTATTTTTATGTGGAGATTACGCATCTAGCGCTGACAAAGAAAAAGATTTCACATGGAGGTGAAAATGTGTCCCCTCATCCCAGAATACAGTTACGCGGCCATTCTCCTTCAGAAAAAAATATTTTTTTTAGAAAGGGAACCTCCTTAGAAAGGTTAAAATACTGACTTAAGTGAAAAAAGTTGATGCAGAGCTGTTTTATTTCACAAGCCTCCCATTTGCCTTTGAAAGAAGTAAAAGAATCATGGGAAAAATCCCTTAGAGTCCCCATGACAAAGATAATGACAGGTAAATAAAAATCTGCTAAATCCAAGTCGCTTCTCGCTGGTACAGTAGCCTCCTTGAAGCTTAGTAACAAAAAGGAGGCATCTTATTGGAAGACTGGTCAGTCTGTTTCCGGATCCACACCACGGGTAACCGGGTTGCTTCATTTGTTAGCGCTGCTCAGTTTCGGCCGTGTCCTTTGCGTTGCACTTGAAGGGAAATGCAAGTGTAAGAGACGCCACAGGAGTCGCTTCGTCCGCGGGTTTCTTGGGGGGAAAGAAGGCAGCTGCTGTTCTGGGTCCGACTGCTGAGCCAGTATCCGTTGCACAAGTTCTTAAAACTCCTCTTCAATCCTGACAGCGTTTAAATTCCACAGCTTTCATATTCCTCAGGAAAAGTACACTTCCTGTGTTTTGCTACACAGCAGACTCACAGTTTGAAACCTGAGTGAATGGCAACAATGCCCGAGTTTAAATTCTGAAAATCCACTTTTAAAAACCCTGCATCTTCTATCATTGCCTTCAACTCCTCCTGAAAAATAATAGTTCCGCAATTATAACAACCTGGAGGCCTACAAGCCAGCTGCCTGCAAGATTACGCTGGGACTGTGTTTTGGGTGTTGGTGAATTCGGAGAAACGCTGTCTTACCTGAGGGGGGAAACGTCGGATGCTCTCCACGAGATACTGGTAAGACTTCCAGTCACCAGCGATAACCTCGCCCAGAACAGGGATAACCTGGAAACTGTACAGATCATAGAGCCTGCACAGACAGACAGCGAATGCGGATTAATACAGACAAGATGAAAACCAACCCTCTCCAACACAAGTTGATCTACGCTATGGAGTCTGTATTGGATTTTAAAGCGCACAATGAGGTGGCCTCAAAGTGTCTCCATCTCTTCTTCTGGCTGAGTACAAATAAGAGAGCCTTGTGACACGGCATAAAGCGTCACCATGTTCCTACCTGGAAAGAAGAGGGTTGCTGACGTGACTAAATTCAAGGCAGAGAAATCTTCCTCCTGGCTTCAGCACACGATAGGCCTCCTCAAGCGCCTGAGACAAAGCAGATGCGCTACGTTTGTTTCTGTAGAACAGCACCTGCCTATTATCATGCCATGTGATGGCAACTCGGTGATGAACTGAGGGGAGTAAAGAGAATCCTGACTGGCAATCTCCAATATTTACTTGTGGGGAAGCATCCCAAGACAAGTACAAAAAAACCTCCAAACAAACAACAAAAACAAACCAGAAAAACTCTTGCTGTTACGTAAATAGATTTATACCAGGCTTTGTGTCGGAACGGTGATGTCGGTTTTGCAATTTTTCTTCTTTTTCCCTACTCTTAGTTGATGAATGTTTGCCAGCGGAGCTCTTGTAACTACAGACCAAACCCAAAAGGGAGAAGGTGACTCAGCTACAAGAAGCTGAAAATGAAAAGAAGGCATGATAGGGTTGGGTTGATTGTTTTTAATCAAAAGAAAAGATTTTACTCAACTGTGAGACACACCCAAAGGATCAAAGAAGAAATGATACTGGGGTTTGGATGAGCAATGTGTGAGAACAGGCAGGAAAGAGAAGAAGAAAACCTTTGGCTACTTTGAAAATTCCATCCTATATGCAAAATAAAACATCTAAGAAGAACCTAGACAAAATTCTGTTTCCAAGCATATGTTTTTTCATACCAGAGCACAGCAGAGGTGTATTCAAGAACCTCTGCAGGCTGTACATCTGCTTGCCTTCAACTGTCATGTTCCTAAGGGATAAAATATAAACAGCACACATACGTGATGGGAGCTCTGCAAAACAATTGGAGGCTTGGATGTGTTTTGTATCGGGTCTCCAGGGAGCTATGCTACCGGACTGCTGTATCCATGAAGGGAAGAGCCTGTGCTTCGGAAGGGTGCGGACGAAGCATCATGAAAAGCCATCTACATTCAGAGAAGTTCAAAGGCATAGAGTTCACCGTGGTTTGGGTCCAAACGCTACACCTTCCACAGAAGGAGCATTGCCAAGGTTGTAACACGCTCCTCCGAACCACAGACACAGTCCAGCTAGGCAGGTGATCTAACCTATCTTCACCCCCAAGACAAGCTAGGCATTCTCAAAGGACAGGTATTGTTTAGAACAAAGGATACTACTTACCCTAATTAAAATCCTATTCATTCTTCAGGGGAAACCCTACTACCAGCCAGTGTAAAGACACTGAGCAGCAGGGGGCTGAATGGGTTAGCCCAGCGGCAGCGGTGGCAGCAGCCTGCTGCTCCCCGCTCTGCTCTGGGAGCTCTGCTGGCTCAGGCAGGGAAACAGAGTGGGGCAGGAAGCATTGGACCCGCTGCAGGCGGGATATAGATGGGGTGCTTCAGGAAGATTTGGGACACGCAGACTGACTGCGCTGTGCATGTGTAGATCCAGTGGTATCACAGGTCAGGGGACGGTGGGGAACAACTGTAGCATTCAGCCCTTTTTGCCTTAGGAAGAGATCGCGTGGCTTGCCAAGCTGGAAGGATGGGGCACAACTAGTATAAATCTAACATTTTATGACAAAGGTGGGGCATTTAATTGCATTCTTCATTCAAACAAGTTGCACGCCACATGCCACTTATTTTAAATGTTTCAGGGGTAGACAATGATGTTCCTTTATCCAAAGGAATTCTTCCTTCGCTTCCTCCACTAGAATAAATAAACCTCATGTGAATCGTAAGGACCCCATGTCAGAATACACTACAGCAACTTACCAAATCAATACGAGTTACATTTCGGATTCCAAAGGCAATTGTGTAAACATCAAACTTATCGTCGTCAAAGGGCAACTCTTCAGCATTCCCAAGTACCCAGGACAAGCCTGTAGCAAAAGCCAAGGACACAGAATTGAACTCGGACTGCTCCAGAAAGACTAGAACTTATCTATTCCAGAAGGAAATGATTATTAATAAAGTGATATTTAAAACTCATACTTCAATTTTGCATTTTTGTTGGCGGAAAGACACCTTGGTCTATACTCACAAACCTTTCAAGGCCCTGTACCGTACTGCTGTCTTTCAAGCAAAGTAGTTAATTTTGCAGATCAGCCAAAACATTCTTCTGCATATACACACGTTGTGCTCACAGTGCCTTAGTCTGTCAAGAAGATGTCACCCAAATCTTGCGTCGTAGTGGAAAGCAACTGGCTTTCCAGAAACTGGCTGCCATTTGTTTGTAGCAAAGTTGCAAAAAGAGAATCTCTGCTCAAAGAGTAACTAATAAGCAACAATTAATGTCTTGCCATGCAACAACAGCCAAAACACTTAAAACATTTTGCTAAGAAGCTTCTGTAGATTGAGGAACATGAAAAGCCACACTCCCTCCATCAGCACTATCAGTCTGTGATCCTGTTGCAGCTGTGTTGCTTCCCAAACCCCAATGGATCAAGGCCACGTCTATCTGTGGAGCATGGATGTCCAGGTTATTGGTACCAAAAATAAGATGGCTCAATTTAGAATTAATAGTTCTTAAAGTCGCTGTTTTTGGTGCCTCAAATGCAAAACAAAAAAAACTAACAGAAAAAACAGGAGTCTTCTGCAACAGCGATCAGCAGTTTCAAAGAGCAGTATGCTAGAAAGTGAGATGGAGGAGAGCAAAACACAGCAGAAAACTGCAGTTGTTGCCAGGAGACATTCAAATTTCATTTTTACAAAATATATATATTTATAGTTGTAGAAAGTATTGTATGCAAAGCAGCACGCAACATTATTAAAGCAGCCATTGTTAGTGTTATTTAAACGTAGACAGTTTGAAAAGACACCTAAGAAGTGAGCACCAAGAAAAGGTTTTGAGCAAGAGGAAAACTCTCCCTCAGAATACACTGTGGTAAAATCACAGGCCAGGAGTTCATAAGTGGATACATAAAAGGGGCTGTCAGCGTCCAACGAGAGGAACCGGGGCACGTGCAGCGCAGTCTACCACTCCCGCTGGCCAAAATGCACAATCAGCGACCGTGCAACACGGGTGTTTCTTTTCACCACACACAGCCCCCACTGTTGGTGAACATACACAGGAAAATAGTGAAAGAAAACTCTGCCCCTTACAATTTTAAGGAAAACACATTTTAGACCTCAGACAATCAACAGATAAGCAAGCTTAGAAATAAGATTACTACAACAGGGAGGAACTGCATGAAAACCAGAAGGCAGGACATACTAAATGGGTATGTGCTAAACGATGGAGTGAAAAAAAGAGTAAGAAGTCAGAATTGTGGCACAGTGGGGCATAAAGCAACCCAGCCAACAAGAAGACAGTTGGGCTTCTACAGCTATGATGTACAGGGGAAGAAAATTAAAAAACTCGTAAATACTCATTTTGAGAATTTGATAAGTCACAGAAATGCCTAAAAAGTGCAGCCAATTAAACAAAACGCTTTATTTATAGCAGCCAGGAGGCAGCATCAAGCTTCATTTCAGGTCCTAAGCTACAGTCATAAAGCTTTTGTACTTGGAATGTTGGTACGGGTCAGGCGTTCCCAAACTATGACGCATAAAAAGAGCTCTGGACGGGCCTGCAAGCTGCTCAGATAAGTGTGATGCATGCAGTCTGCCAGAGCTGGAAGAACCAATGCTTTCACAGTTAGTTTGTTTTTTAAAGAAAAGGGAGAGGCAGGCCGGCAACGGCCTGGGGTAACCCACCAGCAGGGAGCAAGAGCAGCTGAGAGAACCTATGCCAGCAGCTTATCTTTCAGCCCCTTTGTGCTACTGAGCTGTTCTGTTTGTCCTTCGGCCCACACAATTCGTAGGCTGAAGCCCCGACGGGGGTGTGGGAGCAGGGCGCAGTGAAAGGACGTGCAGGAGATCTCCTAACACACAGGCAGAGGCTGCCCAGGGCATACCTAATGGTGGTACCCAGGCAAACAAAGCTTGGGAACCTCCTGGTATACTTTACATTGCTAAAATATTTGCCGAATATCCATAAATGAAGAGAGGACAAACAACTATCATACAAACGCTGAGCCATAAGCAGGACTTCTTTCTCTGTGTCTTACTTCTTAAAATCAGGCTTTTCAATCAGGATTGGCGTGGTCCCCAACAAATTCTAGATATCAGTGAATTAATCCATTGACCTGCAAACTAACATTTAATATAATTCAGTTTCTCTGAGTATTATTAGCATATGCTCTAACTGTGGAAAGTATTATATGTTCACTATATCCTTTAGCTCTTGCATTTTTATTTGCTGCCTTGATTCTTAAAATATCCATTATAAGACCTTTAGTGTAATCATTCTAGGGCTGAGCTCTTTTGCATTATCTGCCTTAGTAAAATCAGATTTGTTAGCACAGATATAAAGAGCAGGTTTAGATTATTTAACCAATTTTGAAGGATAGCTGGGTATCAGGCCTCATGGACACTTCCATATATGTATTTCCGAAAGTTCAGGTATTATTCAAGAGGATCACTGTACACCTGAACAACATACTACATACATGCTCACTGAAAAAGTAACTCAACATTGGCAAATATGCAAGCACAGCTATAGTATACACCATGGCTATATAATGCATATTGCAGTCCTGAAGTGGTGATTACCTGATGGCTATCAGGCATCAAATTCTTGCTCTCGGGCATGCCACTGAGACATGCACGACTCACCTTCGGAGTAGCCAAGATGCTGTGCTTTCTGCTTCCCAACTTTTAACATTTCTTTGTTAATGTCACAGACCACCACCTGGGAATCCCCTAGCGACTTGCATTTCTCTTCCTGGTAACTCTCAGAAATTTCCTGCCACGATAAATTCTGATGGTGCTTAAGCCTCCGCTGGAGCTGGCGTTCTCGTGCAGAGCGAACATAATTAAGAAATCGAAAGGCGATGTCACCTGCATTTGTTTTAAAAGAAAGATACATGTTTCAGAATGTTTTCTGACTCCAAGAAATTGGAAATATAAGGCTTTGAACATTAAACTGAGTTAAGTTTTATTTTTATATATATATATAAAAAAAATAAAAACCACACACACAGGGGAGAGAGAGGGGGTGTGTGTGTATATATATATATAAAAATATATAACGGGAATGTATTAAAAGCAAAGAGTCCATAACTTCCTACAACTGGAAACAGGTTTCCATAACATACCATGGCAGTACTATAACACTTTCAGAGTCTTGGAGCAAGATACTACAAAACACAAAGAAGTTAGCTCTCAACCCTTCTCTGTGAAAATCAAGTAGATGCTTCACTGGTTTCAAACACAGGGAACTGAGAGGGGAAAAAAAAAAAAAGCTAGGCAAGTTAATTCTGAGCAGACTCGAACAGTTCAAAAACAGCGTGGCATCGTCATGTGGAACTCACCAAAATTATTTACCTGTTCCTCCAGCAACATCAAGAAGAAGCATTCCTGGGAAAGGGTTCATTTTATGAATGAGGATATCCTTCCACACTCGATGGATCCCAAGAGTCATTGAATCGTTCATTACATCATATTTTTTGGCCACGCTTTCAAAGACCTGGTAAACTGCAAAGAAAGGACACGAGAATGAGATGCGATTTACTTTAAAATGCTCCCGTGGAAGTAAAACGTGTCTTTTCTTGCCTCCTGGAGGTCTGCCACCATGTGGAACTGAAAAAGACCACCTGGAAACTCCTTACAAAAGATATGATCGAATCCTACCGAGCTTGTCGCCTGACACGCGTCTCTTGGGAGAAACACAGCCTCTTCCCGCAGCCCTTCGGGAGCCGAGGGGAAAAATCGAGCGGGCATAACGCTGATACCGCTCACCGAGACTCTCGTCCCAAAGCGACGGCCCAGCTCCAAACATCACCCCGCAGGCGACGGCCACCGGCTGCCCGGGAGCCCCGTCAGGTTGGGGGGGCTCAGGGCCCGCACCCCTGGGTCCTGCACCGGCCCCCAGCGCCCCAGCGCCAGCGGCTGAACCCGTCCGGGTACAATACACAGGGCAGCGGGGAAAGTAAACCGAACCCCAGCCCCCCGCCCAACACGCCTCGCGTCAGGGATTTTGCAAATAATTGCCTCTGACGTCTTTAGATTTTTTTAATTTTGCCGTTTTCTGGCTAAAGTAAAACCTGACGGGGAGCAGGAGGGAGGATGGGCCTGGGGGCTCTGGTGGAGGGCGAAGTGAAAGGTCGCCTCTCGTCCCTGTTAGGAACATTGGTACCAATTACAGACCTTGTCTAATATTATTTTTTTTTTTTTTCAAAAGC